AGTTCCTTTTGGCGTCACTTATTCCTCGTGACTCACAGTGAAACCAGCAGCCACATTACTGCTTTCGCCCCAAGTTTTCCCCTTAATTTTTCCTTGCACCATGAATACAGTTGTCGCTTTCTTGGTTTCATTCTCTGTCGTTGCTGTTTCGGTGACAACTGATCCGTGTGCCCAGATGTGCCACGATCTCGGCGATAGTACGGCATGTGCTAGTTCTGGGAAAGGTTCCTATTGCAAGTTTTGGCAGCGTCCAGCGGTCTGTTATGGATTCAAGCGCAGGAAGGATAACACTTTATGCTACGTTACAGGAGTCTCCGACGACGCCAACTGTTCTGGTGCCCCTGTTGCTTGTCCGAGCGGTCCTCCCTTCACCACTGCCGTTCCTTCCACCCCTCGTCCAACACATGTACCTACTACAGAGCCTCCCTGCTCCCCTACCACTACCCGCACCAGTACTACGGTCAATCCGTGCGACATCACTACTACTAAGGCTGCTCCTCGCACCAGTACTACGGTCAATCCCTGCGACATCACTACTACTAAGGCTGCTCCTCGCACCAGTACTACGGTCAATCCCTGCGACATCACTACTACTAAGGCCGCTCCCCGCACCAGTACTACTGTCAATCCGTGCGACATCACTACTACTAAGGCCGCTCCCCGCACCAGTACTACTGTCAATCCGTGCGACATAACTACTACTACTACTACTACTACTACTACTACTACTACTACTACTACTACTACTACTACTACTACTACTACTAAGGCCGCTCCCCGCACCAGTACTACTGTCAATCCGTGCGACATCACTACTACTACTAAGGCCGCTCCCCGCACCAATACTACTGTCAATCCCTGCGACATTACTACTACTACTAAGGCCGCTCCCCACACCACTAATACTATCGTCACTACCAAAAGTCCGACGGTCATTGAGGGTCATTTTTGCGGGAGTGTGATGCTCCAGTCGTTCGTCGTTATCTTGGAGAACGGACACTTGGTAATCGATATGTTATCCCTGTCAATGCATGGCAGATGTGATTATCGAGTTGATGGTTCTCACGTTGTTCTCTTCAATCTTGACGGCGTCCTCAAAGGCATGATGAGTCGCACAGAGATTAGTAGGTTTGACTTAACCATCCTGGATGAGAACAGGATACATTTCAGCGCTGGGGCTTTTTTGGAGACCACGGTCGAACGTTGCTAGTTCGTCTATATATCTCGGATTTCAAAGCTGAACGTTGCTAGTTAGGCTATATATCTCTAATACTCTATCAACCGATTACTCGGACTTTTTCACCCAACCATACTGTTGTGTATGTTACTCAACCGCACTCAGCATAAACGCAATAATAACAACTGAAACACTCAAGGGTCATCAATGG